ATTTATACCACTTTATATCTCATTTATATAAAGTTAGTTCTAATTTATACCAAGTTAGTTCTATTTTATACAACGTTAGATCTAATTTATACCAAGTTAGTTCTAATTTAAACAAAGTTTGTTCTAATTTTAACCACATTAGTTCTAATTTATTACAATGTTAGTTCTAATTTAGCGAAGTTATTTCTATTTTATAACAAGCTATTTCTAAATTATAACATGTTAGTTCTATTCTGTAGCGTGTTAGTTCTAATCTGCACAGTGTTAGTTCTATTCTGTAGCGTGTTAGTTCTAATCTACACAGTGTTAGTTCTATTCTTTAACGTGTTAGTTCTATTCTGCGCAGTGTTAGTTCTATTCTGTAGCGTGTTAGTTCTAATCTGCACAGTGTTGTGTAGTGTGTTAGTTCTAATCTGCACAATGTTAGTTCTATTCTGTAGCGTGTTAGTTTCAGTTCTAACTGATGGCGTGTTAGTTCTATTTTATACCATGTTATATCTAATTTATACCACGTTATATCTAATTTATGTTAGTTCTATTTTATACCACGTTATAAACCTAATTTATACCACGTTATATCTAATTTTTACCACGTTATATCTAATTTATACCACGTTAGATCTAATTTATACTAAGTTAGTTCTTTTTTTCACAACGTTATAAACCTAATTTATACCACTTTATATCTCATTTATACCAAGTTAGTTCTAATTTATACCAAATTAGTTCTATTTTATACAACGTTAGATCTAATTTATACCAAGTTAGTTCTAATTTAAACAAAGTTTGTTCTAATTTTAACCACATTAGTTCTAATTTATTCCAAGGTTAGTTCTAATTTAGCGAAGTTATTTCTATTTTATAACAAGCTCTTTCTAAATTATAAAATGTTAGTTCTATTCTGTAGCGTGTTAGTTCTAATCTGCACAGTGTTAGTTCTATTCTGTAGCTTGTTAGTTCTAATCTGCACAGTGTTAGTTCTATTCTGTAGCGTGTTAGTTCTAATCTGCACAGTGTTAGTTCTATTTTGTATCGTGTTAGTTCTAATCTATACAATGTTAGTTCTATTCTGTAGAGTGTTAGTTCTAATCTACACAGTGTTAGTTCTATTCTCTAGCGTGTTAGTTCTAATGTTCACAACGTTAGTTCTATTCTGTAACGTGTTCTGATACCAAGTTAGTTCTGCTTTATTACATGTTAGTACTATCTGATACCAAGTTAGTTCTATTCTTTGGCTTGTTACTCCTAGCCCCTCCAGCGCCTCGAATAACTGAGATGTTAGTTCTATTCTTTGTGGGTGTTAGGCCTAATATGATAGTTGTTTTGTTACTTATAACTTTTTATCTAGTGTAAGCTGATGTTAGTTCTCGATTAACAAGAATAAACATTCAATCGGCAAAAAACGAAATAATTGTTGCATACTGGGACGAAAACACTTCAACATATCAAACACTTAGTCAGCTATAGTTTCATTACATGTTTTACGGTTATGACCTTCCATATGACATCGAGAACATTTTACTGGCCGCGTGTAAACAGTTCTGTTGTTGATACGCCTGGTTTTATTTCTCCCTTTCCTTTTTGTTGTAAGTGGAGGTAGGATCTGTATCTCATCCCTTGGCACGATGCGCTTCTCATATTCAGGGATATGGTAGAGGATTGGCTCGTAGCTTTTTTTAAAGGCTTCAACCATTATAAACCAGTCACAGAACTGGTAGACATCCCTTTTCATAAACATAATGGATGCGCATGCATGTTTGCAAGGGACATGGGTTACATCCCACCCACGACAAGTGCATGTTTTATTGTCTAGATCCACTTGACAAGATCTATGGGATTGTACCTCAAATAATCCTGTGTGGGACTGACGAACCTCCAATGGACGGCCATTTTCCATGTTCTCTTTGAGAGCAAGTTTAGCTTTGGGGTAAAGAAATTGATTCCAGCTTTTAGCCATGACTCGTCGCTCATTCATACGAACCATAATCTGTTTACGTATGTACTCTACCAGTTGAAGTATCCGTAGTAGCCTAGCCTCATGTATCCATTTGTTGAATGACTCTGCAACATTTGATGTAACGTGACCATATCTGAAACATAATAGGGAATTCGTCAAGCGGCTTATAATAGTCATGTAATAAAATAACTTATAACTTACCTAACTCTAGGGAAAAACGCATTGGCCCAGTTTTCTGGAGCGTAGTTCATCACAATATTGTAAGCTCTTTCGTCCACCAGTCTAATGTCGTCCATATAATCGTTCCATTCTGCTCTAGTATATTTGTAACAGGCAGATTGTAATAGATTACCCAATATCTGAGTATCTTTTGATTTGAATCCCAAATCCGTCAACTTTGTCCTGAAGTTCTCAACTAGATGCAACACACATCGAGAGTGTATAGAATCTGGAAAAAAATTCTCTAACAGCTTCTCTGATCCCCTTATCCGCATCTGAAATTATCACTAGCTTGTGTGGAGGGTTGTATGGATCTGGCCTTTTATAGAGAATAGACCACAAACCTACAAAGAGTTGTGGTTACCATACGCAAATTAGAGTTAGCAATGAATGAGCTAGAATTATCATAAGCTGCAATAGAACTAACATGGCTAGGGATAGAACTAACCTTGTAAGAACCACTTCCAGTTAACGTTATTTTCCTGATCGCATATACAATACGCCAATGGAAATATCCCCTGATTTCCATCATATGCTACGGCGCTTAGGAGTATGCCTTTGAATCGATCTTTAAGAAAGGTACCATCCAAAAATATGAGTGGTCTACATCCGTATAAAAAACCATTTATGCAGGCGGCGTAGGATATGAATAACCTTGTAAACCTCCCCTCATACTGTTCAACATGAATATAGCTACCTGGGTTTGTCTTCTTGACCTCTTCTACATACCTAGAAAATTGAAGATTAAGCGTTAGTACCAACATTGAAAAATTAGTATAATCAACGTCACATAAAGAAAATTAGTTTGTCTTTTGTTAGATATCATCTTCTATTTACCATCGTAATTGATCGTAGGACTCATGGGCATCACCATATAATTTCTCTTGTGCTCTTTCTTTACCCCACCAAATCTTACTATAATCGACCCTAATCCCATACAAGCTTAGAAACTCCTTTTGAACGTTAATAGGCCGTATATCCGGTCGAACCTTTAACGTGGGTTGTAATTGGGTAGCAATGAATCGCCTAGAGGCTCTAGATTGACCAGCATTATTGCCATGCTACCCACAACTGTGATTGTCCACAAACCTTTTGATTTCAAGTCTATTATTATTTTTCGGTGGAGAGGCAAACAACATCCATGGAAAATTTTTGGCTTCCTTAAACCGACAAAACACTCGAATACGCTTCGGTTCATTCTTCCCAAACTCGTATTCGAATTTTTTTGCCATGGAGTAGTATAGCAAGGCCAATCTTAACTCCTTCGCACTTTCAAATCGTTGTCCCTCACCGGTTAAAGCTGTGTGCCACCAAGCAGGAATCCTCTCTGATCTGCTAATCATGTCATGAATCGTCATTACATCATCTCCGGAAGGATTGTCATTGGGATTCTTATCTGGAACACTTGTGGTCCACAACGCCGACGGGCCACAGTCTACACTTTTTGAGTTCAAATTGCTGGAAGCGCTACAAATATTAAGAACATCAAAAAATTAATCATAAACTACACAAATAGTAGAAGTATTAACAGATAATAGCAAAAGCTAAAAAGCAAAAATGACAATTGCTTGCTGTTAGAATCAATTAGAACTAGAAAGAACTAACAATATAACCATTAGAGCTAACAGTGCATTGATTAGAACTGACATAATAGCTATTAGAACAAACAATATAGCCAATAGAACTAACAATATAGCAATTAGGACTAACAAGACATAGATTAGAACTAACAATATAACAATTAGGACTAACAATATAACCATTAGGACTAACAAGACATAGATCAGAACTAACAACCTTTGCAGCACTTGCAGCATATGGGAACTATAGTGGAACTAGCAATAAATCTAGTAGAACTAACAAAATAGCGATTAGAACTGACAAATAAAACATTAGAACTCTAGTATGGAGCATAACAAAGAACTACTTAACGATAAGATTACAAAGATTACAACTAACATAAGATACGATCGAATTAGATCTAACAGAACCAAGATTACAACTAACATACGATCGAATTAGAACTGAAGTCCATTTAAACCTAGCATAGACCTAACAAGAAACTGATTAGAACTTAAGTTAATTGATTTTACAGTTAACCTACATGTCTAGTCGGACTTGTTCGTTTTCCTGTTTATTCGAAGAATCATCTCCTTCTTTAAAAGCTTGCACGTGAACTTCTTTCAGTCCAAGATTGTGACAATGCTCCACCATAGACGTCAGATCACCATCGTTCTCAATGAGAAATTTTAAGCTTCCAACTGCTTCATCTTCGTATGCCAAAATTAATGACTCATATGGAAGATCTAACCTCTCTGTTGTATCAAACTTGAGATCCAAGATGATGGTTGAAGAATTAATCTTTAAGAATACCGCTTTATACCGCGAAGAGACAATGCAGATGATGTCATTTTCAGCCATTTTGAAGGGATAGTAAGAGTAATGGAGAGAATTTTGGTCTGAGGAGGAGTAATGGAGAACTAACTAGTTATTGCTCATGATGGAGTAAAAAAAAGAGGAAATTTCCCTCCATTTTCCCCATCATATCGCATTAATGAGAAGTGACTTCTGTTGTTCGGGACCAGGACTCGTCTGGGGAAGAAAGAGAAGGGCAGTTTCGGCTTTTTTCCAAAATACGTTCTGCTTTTAGTATAAAGCTGACGTGGAGAGGGCTTAAAACATTAAAGCTTATTTTTTGGGCTATTCCATATGGGGCAAAGTACAAGGGGGCTAGTCACACGAAGTTCCCACTTTTAGGGCCTGGACACATTTTTCCCTTCTTCTTTTATTTATTAAAAACTCCCAAAAAAGAAGAAGTACTTCCATTTCCCTTGCTTTTAAAAACTCCCATACGAGATGGAAGTGCATCGCTAGGTTTTGCGATCCGTTCACGTCATCTCGCAGAGACGATCGATGGCGAGCAAGGCCGCAGCAACTGCGGCGACGACGGCAGCGAAAGCGGTGGCGAGAGGCGCATGCGAGACCTACGAGTATCCATGGCGCGAAAAGCTCCAGAAGTTCAAAGGCGAGCTCGCGAAGGGAGTCTGGGGCTACTGGCATCTCGGAGCCTGGAAACCCCTCGCTCTTAGCGCCCGAAAGCGCGCTCGACTCCGCAAAGAAGTGCTCCTCGCTGGAGAGTGAGTAGCGATTTTCGTGAAAATGCTGTTGTTTTCTGGGGTTTTGCCTGTTGATTTAGGGCTTTAGGGTTTTTTTTAGGGATTGGCCGTATGATCCGCCGAAGGGGGAGATGAGGACAAAGAGGAAAGGGCACAAGGTTGATCGCGTTGCTGCTGAGAAGTGAGTTTGCGGTTTCCGAACTTGGGTTTGATTTTAGGGTTTTGGAAAAAAGTTGGGTCTTGATTATTGTTGGGTTTTTCTATTTGATGTATTAGGAGGGCGAATACGGTTGAGTTGATGAAGAAGATGCCAGAAATGCTGCTGGATTACAAGGTTTGGATTCCAAAATCAAGTCTTTTTATTTCAAATTTTAAGTTAGAGCGTTTTTCTCTTAGATTAATCTATGTATCTATGTTTTGGGTTCCAAAATCAAGTCTTTTTATTTCAATTTTAAGTTAGAGCGTTTTTCTTTTAGATTAATCTCTGTATCTATGTTTTGGGTTCAAACATCAAGTTTTTTTTATTTGATGTTGATATTTGAGCATAATAAATAAAAAATCTTAGGGTTCACATTAGTATCAAACCAATCGCAATTGTTATAATTTTCTCAGAAATAGTCCTGCGGTTGAAGTCCATGCTGCTTGCCATGATCATATTAAGGGAAGGAACCAAATTTTTGTAAGAGCAACTAAAGAAGTTTCAAACATTGAATTTTTTTCTTTTACTAAAGTTTCCTCAAAGATGCGGTAATGCGCTTCTATCGTGGTATACTTCATGAAAGATAATCCCTAGATCACATTATATTGCATGCGACACAAAATGATAATAGATAATGCTTATCTTTATTGCGTAATCTCAATAACTTTGTAGATTTGCTAGACTAGATCAATTTTAATTTATATTGAAATTATGTTTAATATTAGAATAAATAAAGAGATAGACTAGAGTGGAAGGCTATTAGAACCGCAGAGTCTTGATACCCTGAAGCTATCATTTTTCACTTTAGGATAGAACTTTGTGGATGATTTTTACCTCTTAGATCGTCCCCTTGACATGATGCCAAGATGGCCTATTTATAGCGATAATAGAGGTAGCTATTGCCACATGGCACTCTTCAAGACTGGTTGGGTTGGTTTGGATAGTTATCCAAACCACCTAGCTGACATTAATATGAACTGAATATGGTTAGATGCGTGCTAGGTGTGGCTAAGGTCGGGCTAGAGTAGCGAAACGCTCATTGGTTGAGAAATTTTGTGAGTGAACATGCATGATATTCATTTTAGAATACATGTACTTTAGCAGGTTTGCTATATCCACTCCCAAACAGTAATTTTGGGAGTTGGATTGCCGAAAATGCCCTTTTGATGTTGAGGGTGTTTCTGGAATGGACTTGGCCTGTTTTGGTTTGGGAGAAGGGCAATTTAGTCCTCACACACCCCAAAGTTACTGTTTGGGAGTGTGAATAGTTGGACCCGTACTTTAGTGTGATTGTGGAAACAAATGATAAATATCATGGATATCTATGAAATTACAAAATTTGAAGTACACATACGTAGTTGCCATTGGGTAAAAACAAACATAATGGGGGGGAAGGTTATAATGCATGAAAATTGTGAAGCTTAAGGTACGCGTAGTTAATTGCCATTGGGTTAAAAATATCACGAAGTTTGAACTGCGAAGACATTATCTTTATTGGATCAAAACAAATGCAACTTGACTTGAATCAAAGTTATAACCCGATGAAAGTTAATTTTTTGGTACACATACTTAATTACCACTAGCTGCAAACAAATAAAACTAAACAAAATTCGTGGGTTGTACCTTATAAAAATCGTAAAATTTTGAAGTTAATCGCTGTTAGGTCAAAACGAACAGGAATGAAGGAAACTCATGGGTTAGCCTATGAAAATTGCTAACTGAAGTACACAATTAATTGCAAGCGGGTTGAAACGGATCAATATAGACAAAAATTATGGGTTACAACTTATAACTCATGAAAATCGTGACTTTTAAATTACATCTACTTAATTGCCATTGAGTTGAAAAGGAGCAAAATAAACAAAAATCTTGGGTAGTCCGTGAAATTGCAAATTTTGAAATAAAATATAGTTGATTACCATTGGGTGGAAACAGAAAAAAATTTACAAAATACCTTGGGTTAGCCCATGAAAATCATCAATTTTGATGTACTCAAACTTAATTATCATTGGATGAAAAATGGATAAAAGCCTTCGGTCAAAGTCGATGAAATCTCAGATTTTTAAAGACCCATATAAATTTGGTCAACCAACGAAATGAACAAAAAATATTGGTTAATAGTCTATAAAATCGTGAATTTTCAAATAAGTGTGCTTAATTACCATTGGGTGGAAACAAACAAAGTTTACAAAAATCATGCATTATAGTCCAAGAATGTTACGAATTTTAATGTGTCTTTACTTTTGTCATTGGATCGTAGTGAAAGAAAATGGGCAAAAGTTGCGGGTTATAGCCCATGAGAATCGCGACTTTTGAAGTATGCATAATTAATTACCATTGAGTTGAGACAAATAAAAATAAACAAGAACCGTTGGTTATAGCCCTTCAAATCGCAAATTTTAAAATACGCAGTCTTAATTGTCATTAAGTCGAAAAAATAAAAATGAACAAAATCATGGGTTAAGCTATGACAATCACGAATTTTAAAGTGCACATGAGCAATTGTGAGAGACCTTATATCAATTTTATTGATTTGAGGGAATAGTTTCAAAATATGAAAGATTTAAGGGATTAATATCGAAAAAAACTAGCGTCCTAAAATTCTTCGCCTTTAATATACATAATTGAATGTGCCCTACAGTAAAAAAAATTGTAGATCTGTCCCTGGTTATAGGCTATGAAATTGCAAAATTTTAAATTTGCATACTTAATTGCCGTTTGGTTGAACAAATGAAAGTTTACAAAAATCATGGGTTATGCTCATGAAATTTGCGAAGTTTGAAGTGCACAAATTAATTGTTGGATCTAAATGAACAAAAATAAACAAATATTACGGGTCATAGTCCAAGGGTAATGAATGATTTTGAAGGTCACATAAGATTATTTGTGTGTACAGTTTTGCAAAAACTTTGGGACTTTATTTTATGCGTTGTGGTCTCTTATTTTGCGGCCCACAAACTGCTAAACGAAGAAATCTGGCGCTAAGCTATAATTTTAGTTTTGAGTGCAATTTGGATACACCATTAGGTATGATTATAATTTAATGGATTAAAATATAATTTTAAGAGTTTTACCGTGTTAATATAAACACTATTCAAAGTGTAGAATCTGTAGATATTATCAAGTGGCGATGTAGGCGGGATTTGACCGAGTGGAGCATGCAGTTGAGTGGTGCAACCAAGCGCATGAGTGTAGCAACGCAGTAAGGATGTGCTGAGTGGAGCGTGCGTGAACAATTAGCTTGGCATAGCACGCGAGTATGGCTTATTGTCAGGGCATGACTGAGGAGAGCTTATACAATTAAGGGGTGTGTTGTGAGTGCGCATAGTGATGGCATGGCCCGATCATGGTGCGGGTGTAGTTTGCGCATGGCCTGGCCATGATGCAGGCATAGCTTGCGCACAGCCTGACTGTGGTGTGCACGTCGGTTTTGTGCGTGAGGGCATGCGAGCACAGCTCCATGAGGCTCGATAGGATGCACGCTTGTGTTTGTGGGCATGCAAGTGTTGCTTGATCATGATTCAATAGGTTGCTCGTTCTTGCACTTGGTGTGTGTGGATGGCTCGATCATGACCAGATAGGGTGTTTGTCGGTACAGAACTGGTTGAGCTTTTTTCTGATGCCTACAGTGTATCAACCATGCTCAAGGGATTAGAAGAATTGGGTCTGGGTTAATATTTGAAGTAGAACTGTGAAATAGATCTAACGAACTGAACCAATTTGGAGCCATGAATGCTAGTTGTTTATTTGGCTTTGTAGGTTTCCAGTACCCTAGCTGGATGTCTTCAGTAAGAGTAGGAGTGGTATAGGTGATCTGCATTAGGTCAATGTTGCATGGACTTTGCAAAAATTGCCTGCTGGGTTTCCGATCATGTGAGAGGAATTTTTTTTTTTTTTTGAAAAACGTTGGTGACTCCAAGTTTACGGGCATGGGCATAGATTTTAGAAGTAAGATGGCATTACTATGACCCATTTTTTGAAGGCAAGCAGTGTAGCGTTGATGCATTAACTCGGTATTGTGTTGAGAATCAAGTAGGTTGACTCTGCAAGAGTTGCAGGTTATTAGGTAATGCATTATGAAGTTTTCATTATGGTGAGGATCATCCACCTATCTATCTACTGACTAGTGAATACCAAAATGTCAATTGTACAGACATGACACTCACAATACTGTACTTCGTTTCCATCTTGTTCTGTAGCCACTTTATAGGAAACATCCTAACCTGGTGATTGGCAATATCGAGTCCTGTGTTTTAAACTCAGCCGTCCCTCAAAGGCTCTGTTGCTTGTGTTATCTTCTTTAACCACTTCAACCTTTAGCTGCTCATCAAGCTCCGAACTTTAGTATAACAAACAGAAAATCATAATGACCTAGGACATAGATTGTAATTCCAGCATTTGCTTATTTTCTTTTGTTGTCACTACTTTTAGGTTTGTTCAAACACTGCTAAAAAATTAGGCATCCCAGACGGAAAATTCCGTCTAGGATAGACAGAATTCCGTCTAGGATGCGTATTCTAGACGGAATTCCGTCTAGAATACCCGTCTAGGATGTTTCCGTCTAGAATAAAGTATTCTAGACGGAAATTCCGTCTAGAATATATCCTAGACGGAATATTCTAGACGGAATTGAAAACCGTCTAGAATACATCCTAGATGGATTATTCTAGACGGAATTTCCGTCTAGAATACTTTATTCTAGACGGAAAAAATTTCCGTCTAGAATGAGTATTCTAGACGGAAATTTCCGTCTAGAATACTCATTCTTGACGGAAATTGAGGTTTTTTAATTTTTTTTAAATTTTTTTTTTAAAAAGGCATCCTAGACGGAATTTGAGCATCCTAGACGGAATTTCCGTCTAGGATACTATGCTACAGTAGTTTTTTTTTGTTTGCAAAATCCACTTTGAATGCATGTACACAATATTGAACAAAAACAAATTATATGGATATCCACCACATTCCACTATCAAATCCAATTATATTCAAATAATACATAAATTGTTTACAAACTTTTACATAAATTATTTACAATGGATGTCAGTGCATCGGCAAACAGGTCTAATAATCTCTATTAACAAAAAGGAACGCGATACATAAATTGTTTACATAGATAATAACTAATTTTCTATTTATATGTTTATTTACAATCGGAGCCGCAGAGAACTTTCAATGCTTCAAGTCATAATTAGTATTACACTCAGCACATTGAGGGCTTCTAATTCAAATTGCTAAACTGTACTCCTGCTCTCTCTTGATTTATAATAAAAAAGATGTGATCGGCTTCAATAATCATATAGTACCTGAAAAATGAACGAGTATTATCAAGCTTAGTGATGAACACTATCGCATATATCAGATAAGTTTTCATGAAAATTTCAGGATAAATTTTGCAAAGATGGAGTTAATGAGTGACTCAAAAAATCAAATGTTTATTCACTTATGAAGAATAACATCATTATCGCATTGAGAGCACCATCATTATCTTCCCAATCTTCATCCCTGTTACAATCTTCATCCAATGTTTATTCACTATGTCACCTATAAGCTACATGCTCATAAACTCATCTTATGTGTTATATAGCTTCGAGTCATTTTGTCATCCTTTACAGATACTGTTTCTTCCATCCATAACCAGTCCATCAATTACTGTAATGAAAATATTCAAGAAAGAGAATTAACAATGTTGTACTTTTTCACGATTAGAGCTGATCACAAGGTTCGTGATAAAAGAAAGTGCAACACAGGAGTGGTTCTTTTTTACCATTGAAATAAGCTAGAGCTGAAGGAAAGGTCCATAGAAGTTGTGTATATCAATATTTCCTAGAGATATCAGAAGTAAATTTTAGCACAGAACACACTAGCCAATGCACATGTACAATGCAGTGTTTAGATAAGCTAATAATAGCTCTAAAATTCAATGAAACATTTCTATCAAGGTTTAATTACTGATCAAGAAGTGAAGTTTACTCAACGTCACATATCACATTTGCATAAAAATCTTATCTTTCCAATCTCAACACATTCATCATCAAAACTAAACTCATTCACATTGCAAAATATTTAGTGTTACCTGGGTCCTCAAAATAGCATGCTGATCAACCTTACTCTTCCCCTTCTCCTTCCCCTCCCCTGAATTCTCCTCCCAGCTCCTTCCCCTCAAAATAGTCTGCTGATACATATAAAGATTCTGAAATTTTTATCTGTGCAAAAACTTGAAGCATGTACAAGAAATCCATATTTAATTCTCTTTTAACAGAATAATAGCGGGTAAATCTAAAAAGGGGAAGTTCTCATTCCTCAGTACCACTAATTACGACCTCCCTATACAACTAGGAGCACAGCTATTACAAGTGAACTGTGGTGAACTACAAAATAGTTTAGTTTAGCGAAACTTATAAGCAAATCCATTCAAGAACCATCATCAACAAAATCAATACTTCATTCCTGCATATTTACAGATTAGTGAAATAGGTCAGTGATAACTAATCTTACAATTCTTGGCAACCAAAAACTGCCAGATAAGAGATAAAATCCAATGGAATAACTCAATTAAACTGTTGCTATCGCTTTAATAAATGTACTAAATTGAAAATAACAAAAATTAACCAAAATGAGGGCAAATACCTTAACTCCCATAACCTCCTTTAGAGAAATTAATGGCTAAATGACCATTGCTGCAAAAATTAATGGTTATAAATTTAGGGTTTGTTGGTGGTAGGGTTTTGGGGGGAGAGATCGAAGAGGGTTTCTTCGATTGAGAAGAGAGCTTGTCTAAAGCGGAGGAATCAATTTTGACCCTTGATGAGGCCGGCGTTGGCGACGCCAGTCCCGTGCGAGGGGTCGACCAAGCGGAAGAGGCCTGGCCGTTGCGGATCCTGACGGAGTGGATCATCCCGACGCCGTCGAACAAGTGGTAGCCCGTGCCGGGTTCGAACAGGGGTTGGCGCCGTCAGGATGTAGACGCCGTCGATGAAGGGGGATGCGGCCGGCGACGGGAAGGAGGGAAGCTCAAGGTTTGGAAGTTTTTAGAGAGAGGGGGAATGAAATTTTTGAGAGAGTTTTTGATAAATAAGGGGGGAAATTTTTGAGCCGCGGGATCTTAAGGTCGGAATGAAAATTTAAAATGACCGTAAATCCTAGACGGAAATTTCCGTCTAGGATATTCCGTCCAGGATATATCCTAGACGGAAATTTCCGTCTAGAATACGTAGAAATTTTAAAAAAAATAATAAAAATAAAATAACCGTCTAGGATACTATTCTAGACGGAAATTTCCGTCTAGAATAATTTATCCTAGACGGAATATTCTAGACGGAAATTTTCCGTCTAGTTTAATACATTCTAGACGGAAAAATTTCCGTCTAGAATATTCCGTCTAGAATATGCGATTTTCTACTAGTGAAATGGTCATATTATGTCCTGAATGAGCATCTACTGATTGTTATTTCTCCCTTTTTGCATAGATTGTAATTCCAGCATTTGCTTATTTTCTTTTGTTGTCACTACTTTTAGGTTTGTTCAAATGGTCATATTATGTCCTGAATGAGCATCTACTGATTGTTATTTCTCCCTTTTTCTTTGCATCAGAAACGCAGGTGGGAGAAGAAAATGAAAGCAGAGGAGGCAAAAGATTGAACCAAGGTTTGCAGAGAATGGCCTTTGTTGTGATTTGCTTCATTCTTTGCTGAATTGTTCTAGCTGTATTGGAATTTTGTTGCTTTATGCAAAAACAGTTTTTGTTCCATTTTACGCTTATCTGTAAGTGATAAGTGATACGGGTGTACATTCTCTTTGGAACTTAGCGATCCTCATGGGAGCTTGAGGATAGATGATTCTCATGGTAACTTGAGAATAGAGGTGTAAAACAATACAATGGAACGCAGGTCGAAGCGTGGAACGAGACGGCGAATCGAAGAATCGAAGCGTTCAGTTTTCAGCTCGCGAGTCGACTCATACATGCACATGAGTCGACTCATCAGGTTGAGTTGACTCATGCCTGCCATGAGTCGACTCACGAAGCCCAGCCATTTTGTTAGAAGTTTCTGACCAGTCGACTCATGACTATCATGAGTCGACTCACGAAGCCCAGCAGTTTTGTCAAAAGTTTCTGACCGGTCGACTCATGACTGTCATGAGTCGACCCATGTGTCATGAGTCGACTCATATATGCACATGAGTCGACTCATCAATGGTTTCCTGGTTAGTTTGGGTTTCTGTTTGCACGAATTCCTGTGGGGTTTGGGCTTGGTTATTTACCACTTTGTCATCAACGTTGTTACCCCTATATAAGGGATTGTTTAGGGTTTCTAATCAATCAGATGTAATCAAAGAGAGATTCTAATCAAGAGAGATTAGGGTTTAGAGAGAATTAAGAGTTTGTTCTCGATTCTAGTGAGATTGTGAGAGAGGGATTGTAATCTTTTCATATCATAATCTAGAAGGTATTTTCCTTCGTTACATACTGAATTATTCTTGTGTTTCTGTCATCCTCTTCTCAACCCACCTTTGATAATTCCGCGATCAAAGGTGCTCGCACGGCGACTAGTATCAAGTTGGTATCAGAGCGATCAGATCCTGTGAAGGGGGCATCCTGTGTATGGTCCTGACTCGATCGCAATACAAGAAGCTAGACGAGATCCTTATTTTATTGGAAGGAGTCCAGAAATTAAGGAAGAAGAAGATGACTGAAGGGGATAGTTCAGCGAGGCTAGATGCATTGGAGAAACAGATGGAGACAATGAGTTCGACTCTTACATAGCTCGTCAATATCTTCTAAGAAAAGGACAAAAAAGAGGAATCTTCTTCGAAAGGCAAGAAGAAACTTATGGAGTTCGATGGAGAAGGCGAGGAATCTGATTCTGATAGGGAGGCCGGGATTGTCAAAACTGTTCCGCATCAAGGGGGTAAGGGTTCTTACCAGAATTTGAAGATAGACTTCAGGTAGAGATTCCTGTTTTTAACGGGAGTGTCAACGTCGAGAAGCTCGATGATTGGATCGAGCGTATAAGATATATTTCATTCTCTATGGATATTCATCCAAGGAGAAGATTGTGTTCGCGACTTTGAAGCTTTCAGGGCACGCGTTGACGTGATGGAAATCCTACTATAAGTAAGAGAAGAAGGCGGTGTCGTGGAACAAGTTTAAGGAGCTACTGAGAAAGCAGTTCTATCCAGTGAGGTTCCTTGAGGAGCGTTGGTACAAGTGGTACGGCTTGCGCCAAAGATTCAATCAGACCGTTCAAGAGTACACGACGGAGTTCCAGCAGCAGGCGATGGTTCTAAACGTCGCGACAGATGAATACTCCATCTTCATGAAGTACATGAAGGGTCTAAACGAATGCATCCGGAAGGAGATGAAGCTATTCACGATTGAGTCTATTACAGAGGCAAGCGTGAAAGCTATTGCCATCGAGGGCAAGCAAAAAAAGAGCAACGAGGCGAAAGAAGATGCAAAACAGACGGGATGTGAGTCTAGTGGTTCCAAACATAAGGAGGAGAAGAAGGGTGATCCAGGAAGAACAGAACTGATTTGTAGTCACTGCGAGAAGACATGACATATCGCTGATCGATGCTGGGAGAAGTATCATCATCTGAAGCCAAAGGGGTTGAAGAAGAAAGAGGAGAAAAAGATATACATGATAATACAGGGTCCGAAGGAAGTTCATGGGATGACAGAGCCCAATAGTAGTCTTAATCTTATGACAGAAAAACAGGCCACGAAAGAGGACGAAGACCCCCCGAGAGCAGCTCTTTGTGCTGAAGTTGCAAGTGAAGACCAGTTTGGTTGATGCCATGATTGATCCAGGCAGCGAATTTTTTTTGATATCCGAGGCTTTGGTTCAGAAGCTAGGTCTGAAGACAGTCAAGCATCCGAAACCCTATCCATTGGGGTGGATTCAGAAGGAGACGGGACTAAATGTAGTTGATCAATGCACTGTCAGATTTGCGCTCCACAAGTCGTATATTGACGAGGTCACGTGCGACGTCGTTCCATTGGATGTTTGTCAGGTTATACTGGGCAATCCGTATTTGTGGGATAGATACGCGATCTATAAAAGACGGGCTCAGAAGTACACATTCACCAAGGATAGTGAAAAGTTCATATTTCGTTCGGCGTCTCTTCCGAGGGAGGCAAACTTAGTGACGGTGACGCGAGCGAAGAGGCTAGTGAATGCAAGCAAGAAGTTTGTCTCGCTGTGTATTAGACTATGATGAGCCATCGAAAAGGAGTTGCATGTTGGAGCAGAAGACGACTACGATGAGGCGCAGAACGAAGGAGTCGTTTTCAGTTGTACGTCGATATCAGGTTCCTAGCAAAGCCAGGTGGTACAGAAAGGATGGAGGAGCTCGCGAGTTTCCTCAGCTGAAGTTCTAACTTTAATGAGACTTCAAGTTCCTAAAGGGGGGACCTATGATACAGGTGTATCTTCTCTTCGAAACTTAGCGATCCTCATAGGAGCTTGAGGATAGATGGTTCTCATGGTAACTTGAGAATAGAGGTGTAAAACAATACAGTGGAATGCAGGTCGAAGCGTGGAACGAGACGGCGAATCGAAGAATCGAAGCGTCCAGTTTTCAGCTCGTGAGTCGACTCATACATGCACATGAGTCGACTCATCAGGTTGAGTCGACTCATGCCTTTTATGAGTCGACTCACGAAGCCCAGCCGTTTGTCAGAAGTTTCTGACCAGTCGACTCATGACTATCATGAGTCGACTCACGAAGCCCAGCAGTTTTGTCAGAAGTTTCTGACCGATCGACTCATGACTATCATGAGTCGACCCATGTGTCATGAGTCGACTCGTATATGCACATGAGTCGACTCATCGATGGTTTTCTGGTTAGTTTTGGTTTCTGTTTGCACGAATTCTTGTGGTGTTTGGGCTTAGTTATTTATCACTTTGTCATCCACATTGTTACACCTATATAAGAGATTGTTTAGGGTTTCTAATCAATCAGATGTAATCAAAGAGAGATTCTAATCAGAAGAGATTAGAGTTTAGGGAGAATTGAGAGTTTGTTCTCAATTCTAGTGAGATTGTGAGAGAGGGATTGCAATCTTTTCATATTATAATCTAGAGGGTATTTTCCTTCGTCACATGTTGAATTATTCTTGTGTTTCTGTCATCCTCTTCTCAACCAATCTTTGATAATTTCGCGATCAAAGGTGCTCGCACGACGACTCGTATCAGTAAGACTAATATCAGGTTGAATATGACTGTCTCGCCTTTCTGTTCGCATAACTAGATATATCTTCTTGTTGAATATATAGTTACAGCTCATATTATGTCCAGTCACCTTTACGTAAAACATTTGAAACTGTGTCATCATGATTACTACTTTGCTACTAATACGATACATGTTTTTGCATCAGGTTGCTATTAATAGTATTTAATACATGGATATTATCAATCCGGATCTAAAATTGCAATCCTCAAATTGGAAATTCATATTGTTCGATGTGATGTAGTGTGAATAAACTCCCTAGAGATGAGATTTCAAATAATTTCAATGTCGTTTTAATTAATGTATAAAAGGGGGAAAAATTAAGTAGCTTTACAAAATTCAATAACATTGATTTTAACAAGTGATATATGGCTAAATTTCGTTAGAATTTTTCAAAATCTTTATTTCCAGATAGCATAATAAATCATATATATTTTTGTATCGTAGTAATGAGTTGGAGAGGCAAAGCCGCACTATAAGAGGGAAAACACTACAGGCACACCCCCAACCACATCTTGGGGCATACCCTCTTTCTTAGCTACAGTGCACGGGGTCCATTTTAGATTTTTTTTAAAAAATCTAAAGTAGGCTCCGTGCACTGTAGCTGAGAGAGGAGGTGTGCCCCAAGGTGTGGTTGGGGGTGTGCCTGTAGTGTCACTCCTATAAGAGAGCGCTGCATAAAATAAATTTCCAAAAGTTTAATAGAACTACATCATATGAAATTTGTCCATTTTCACTTGCATCAACTCAATTGTAATTAAGTTTGTGTACATTAAAACTTGATATTTTTCATAGGCCAGAAATCATGAATTTTAAACTACGCATTCTAAATAGCCATTTGGTAAAAATGAATAAAAATTAACAAAAATTATCGGTTATAACACATAAAAATCACAATTTTTTATGTACAAAATTAATATTTATGTGGTTAAAACATATAAAAATTGTAAAAATCGTGGGTTATAACCCATGAAAATATGAACTTTGAATTATGCGTACTTAATTGCCATTTAGTCGAAATAAAAAGCAAGCAAAAATTATGGGATAGCCCATAAAAATCACAAAATTTATTGTACACCTACTTAATTTTCTTTTGGTCAAAATGTGCAAAAATTGCAAAAAATATGGGTTATAACCTATGAGAAAAACCATTAATAAATTTTGATGTTCGCGTACGCAATTTTCATTCGGTCAAGACGAACGAAAATTGAAATAAACATAGGTTATAGTCCATGAAATTCATTAATTTTAAACTTCATGTACTTAGGCCTGTTTGGCAAAAGGAAAATAAATGGAAGATAGAAAGTGAAGAGAAAGTAAGTTCTCGAGAAAGTACTTTCTCTTAACTTTCTATTTGCAAATATTATTTGGTAACTAAAAAATAAGAATGTGGAAATTTGACGTGGCAACTGACATGACATACACTTTCCTTGTCTGACCTGTTTGGTTTATGTGGAAAGCGGACAATGGAAAATAGACTTTTTAAACATGAGTGCATAATAGATCAACGTAAAAGGTATTATAAGCATATATTATATGTCGAAGTCATAAAGAGAATAAATATCAAATATGAATTTTTTTCCATATCAGTTCAATCAGACCTGTCAAATACTAACCATAAGCTTGTAGTTGACCTTTTCCTATTTAATGATATAATATCCAATAAAGTAGTGTTTGAATGATTTCCAGTAGATTGTATCTTTCGCAAAAGAGGTTAAGCCATTAGATTTTCTTTTTTTTAATTTTTCTTGTGGGAGTGTAGATAGGCGCTATCAAGATATCCATTTAATTATCCAGTTTTCTTCTTTTTGGAACATATTTTAGATGGTAGAATCAAAGTCATGACCAAATATTTAGAAAGATGTGGGCGAAGACTCTTGAACCACACGGGAGTCTGAAGCAATGGCTAGATTGAAATGAAAAAAAACATTTTTGTAAAGTGAAAAGATGTGAAAAATAATATTTTTCCTTTCCTCTCGCGTCACTTTCCATTCGTTTCCCCCTTTTTTTTATAAAAAGTGAAAGGGTTAAGAAGCTATGGTGGAATCCCCTCACTTTCATTTACTTTCAGTCTTTCAAATGTCAGGCAGTCAAAGAATAGAAAAAAAAAATGCTAGAGGCACATCATCTCAAGCACATCCCCAATCACATCCTCTCTATCTACAGTGCAGTGGGTCCCACATGTGGGACCCACTGCACTGTAGATAGAGAGGATGTGGTTGAGGATGTGCTTGAGAGGATGTGCCTGTAGCACTCCTCAATAGAAAATGGTGTAACTTTCTAACTTTTGATTCACTTTATACTTAGTTTCCAGTTGCCAAACACACCCTTAATTGTTATTTAGCAAAAATAACCTAAAATTGACACAACTCATGGTTATGACCTATGGAAATCGTAAATTTTGATATACATGTACGTACTTTCCATTTAGTCTAGACGAACAAAAATCACAGAAATCATGAGTTATAACATATGAAAATCAACCCATGAAAATGAAAACCATGAATTTTAAAGAATACATTCATAATTGTAATTTGATAGAAATGACCAAAAATCGACAAAATTGCTAAAATCATGGCCCACTAAAAATAATAAATTTTAAGCTACGAATTCTTAATTGTCATTTGGTGAAAATTACTGAAAATTGACAAAAGATCGTGGTTTTCAGCCAGTGACAATAACAAATTTTGTTGTCTACATACTTAGTTTCCATTCGATGGACACAAATGTGAATTGTAACAATCAAGGGTTATAGTGTATAAAAATCATAAACTTTTTAACTTTGTGTACTTAATTGTGATTTTGTAGAAATGACCGAAAATTGAAAAAAAAAATTATGAGTTATGCCTATGAAAGCGAAATTTTTTTTCACCTATATGTAATTTCCATTCAGTCGAAAAGAACAAAAAAATACAAAAATATGAATTACAACCCATGAAAATAAGAACTTTGAACTACACGTACCTAAGTGTCTTTTGGTTGAAAAGAAGAAAAAATGATAACAATCATGCATTAGCTCATAGAAATCATAAATTTTGATATATACATATTTAACTTCTGTTTGTTTAAAATGAATAAATAATGCTAAATTATGGGTTATAACCCATATGAATCATGAACTTTAACCATGTGTACTTAATTTATTAGGATTGTGTCTTTGTTTCTTTGTATAACTTCATGAGAATTACAGAGTTAGTAATCTATCATGATTTGGAGATTGAGTCTTATCTTGATTAGGA